GCAAAGCTATACTTCAAGGACTAACCTGTAGGAACAGGGAACACAGGAATGTTAAGCCCTATTGTCTCTTGCTAATGAGCCTTTAGCTCTTATCTGGCTTCTTCACTGTTGTACCGGATGAGCTAGTAATAGGCTTTTCCCAATATGATACATTGATGATAAATCTATGGCCAGTATTCCTAACTTTAGATAAAGAAATGATACAGACATAGAAATTATTATAACCTTTCCAATGATATCTGACATGAAGAATCTCATATAAAGCCTGTTCTAGTTATGATCATATTCATAGGTATATTCCCCTGGGGAATATGGAATACCCCATCACACTGTGATCTCCTCAGGGCAAGGTCTATCTCTTCTTGAATAATTGAAAAGCATGTAAAAGCTTTAAAAACAACAAATAGTCTGGTAGCACTTTAAAGACGAACAAAACATGTAGATGGTATCATGAGCTTTTGTGGGTATAACCCACTTCTTCAGTTCAGCCTTGTTGCTCACAAATAGATCATGATGATGAAGATGAAGTTCAATTGGTTGAGTCTGTTCTAAGAGTCATATTACTATACTTAAGAAAACTGGGCATTACCTCATAACCAAATTATCATGTGATCATTATTGCTCCATGCTCACATGCCATGTGTCATCATCTGTTCTCTAAGCTCATTCCACAAACATATACACTCATTGTGCATACACTACTTGTTTCTACCCTCTTAATTTCTCAGTTCACCTCTCAGGGTATGTCAACTATGGCAGACACAAAGCAATGTTAGGGTACATCTAGACTAGATGCCTCTGTCGCCAGAGGCATGTAGATTAGGCTACAAGGCATAGGAAAATGAAGCGGCGATTTAAATAATTGCCACTTCATTTAAATTTACATGGCTGCCAAGCTGAGCCGACAAACAGCTAATTAGCTGTTTGTCGGCTCAGCTTGGCAGCCATGTAAATTTAAATGAAGTGGCAATTATTTAAATCGCCGCTTCATTTTCCTATGCCTGGTAGCCTAATCTACATGCCTCTGGCGACAGAGGCATGTAGTCTAGACTTACCCTAAGTTACAGGGCTGGTCACAGAGCACTTCAGGGAAACAACTGTTGTATGTTCACATTGCTCCTTGTGAGGGTGGAGCATGTCCACATTAGCAGCTTTTGCAATGCCACAGAGAACAGTGCATTGTGGTAGCTAACCCACAGTGCATGTGGCTGCAGGGTGCTTTGAGAAGGGCTTGGGGCAGTCAGTGTCACATGATGCAGGTTTGCCAATCCCATTGGTCCCTGATCATCTTGCTACTTTGACAACTGTTTTTCACCAGAAGTTTGGGGAAGGAGGGAGAGTGTGATAGGGAGCGTGTGTGAGTGTGTGTGTATATATGTAGGGCAGCGGGAGGAGACCGTGTGTTTTGGGGGATGTCAACATATTGTCTTGTAAATTCAGACAATGGCAGGAATCAACTCCTTCTAAGGTGAGGGGAGGGATAAAACCCGAGCCCTTCCCCAGCTCTTTTCACTGCAAACTCTCTCTCACTCGCTCACACATACAGGCACCTGCCTCTGTGTTCAACAGTATGAGCATTCCATCTCACTGGTTTGCTCTGTGACCTGGGGTAAATCAGCACAGTATGCAGGCTGCTTGAAACAGAGCTCTGGAATAGTTTATGCACATGCTTCCATGGCAAAGAGATGAGTTCCAAACAAAGAGCAGAGGTGACTTGAGGCATTATGGTCCATTTCTGGAGGCCTGTCAGAATGCACCAAACAATTCAAGTGTCCATACCGGTATCACAGCACTGTATCCAGAGCAAAACAAGTTCTACACTTCTAGTTGAGGTGGTTTATCTAGAGCACACCAACTGTAGAGTTAGCGCACAGAAAGTAACTTACCAGTGCGGACACCTCGAGAGTGACAACACTGGGAGTTGGTTTTCTGTGCAGTAAATTGCCAGCATAGAGTTGGCCTTAAACTAAAGAAAATTGATTGGAATAGCTATTGTGGACTAGCTTTCCATCTGGATACTCCATTCTGGAATATGTCACTTTATTCTAGAATAATTAATTTGCTTCCAAAGTGAATAATTATTTTGCATAAAAGTCCTTTTTTATTCAATTCACATAGGGAGCTAGTGGAATAGCAATCATGGAATAGCCTATTCTGGTGGATTTTCATGTGCAGACAAGCCTAAGACACAATAAAGGAGTTTGGAACAGGTTGAGAGGAGATGGTCCCACAGTGAATCGGGTACCTTGTGGCTGGGAATTGTAATCAAATTGTTTTGCAGGGGGTCAAAAGTTGGCTAGAACAAGACATGCAACTTGGTTACAAATAAGCCCTACTGCAGAGGATGTGGGGAAAACATATTGCTTCAGCTGAAGAACAGCTTTCATTGACTTTTTTGCTCACCTTACAGCTGTTTTTGTATTTACTATCTATTATACCATGTTCCAAATGTTACTTTCTCACAAAGCTAGTTGGCTTTTGCCTCAGTGTTCAGTTCCTAAGGAAACATGATGGTGCAGGGAAAAAGTTATAATTTTTTTGTTGTAAGAGAAATACCACATTGGATGAGCCTTTTACTAATGGATGCCTGAAGGTGGCTTTGTTAAGAGCTGGCCTGAGTTTGTAATGTCAGTTTACTCCTTATAAAGCTTTTCCATGTCACTTTACAGAAACAAGTAAACAGAAAGAAGCATTGAAAAAAGTCCTTGCCTCCTTTTCCAGTACAGTTTGGTACAAGTGTCAGTGAGAAGATCCAGGGCTGAGGCTAAAGGTTGTTGTAGATCAGAGCTGAGGCACAGCTCTGAAGAGAAACTTGACAGCACTTGCCTATCTCCTGGCTTATTTCTCTCCACGTTATCAGCCTTCCATCTGCATGACTTCACTAACAATATTTTTTAAAGAAACCACTTATAAAAACAACACTTCCCCCCCTCCCCCCAAATCCATTCTGCCTGCTTTTTCCAGACACTGGTATTTTCACAGCTTAAAATGCTGTAGAAGCATAAGCAACAGAAGAGAAGAAATAAAAGTTCAAAGTTCACCAACAGAACATATTAGTATGATTATCGGTTAGTTAAGGCCATGACACTCTGTGAAGGTGCAGAAACAAAGAGCAGCAGGGGCTTCAGATTGTGTGGTTGGAGCGATAATGAATGTCACCTGGAGTAGAGAGAGAACGTTTGGTACTACTGGTTTATGTGTTTAGAATGAATGGGATGGTGAGTCATTAATATCTGCAAAACTCCTTCTCTTCTCTTCTGAGCCTCTTGCTTCCCATGGTTCATATGTTTTCCTTTTGCTTTCAGGCTTCTCATAGATTCTGAAAAAAATATGCATTTAAAAGACTTATTTCACTTTTTAACTGGAAGGTGGGGGGGGGGGGGGGGAATACTTTTCAGTATCCCATTGGGAAAGAATTTAATAAAGTAGTCCTGTGTAGGTCATCTTTCTCTTTCCTCAACCCTTTTTTTAAAAATTATGTACAAACTCTCATCCTCTACCCCCAAGGTATATTTTAGGGCTCAGATGTAACCTTACTGGTACAAAGATTGCATCACCACTTCAGTCTGGTAAAAGCAAAAACAAAATCACCTCTCTCTGAAAGCATATTTCATAAATCTCCATCTTTGTGATAGCACTGAAGTCATTATGTAGCAGTTGGCCCTGATACGCTTGCACAGACACAAATTGAGTCGGACAGGACTGATGTCTTATGGACTTTGCTGTCATTTGAAATGCTGGCACAAAGATGGTAGCAATGAAAGGGGGGAGCTGGTGCCTTCAGCACTTTGCCTATGAAAATTTCTTAGATTCGTTTCTCTTGATAGCAGTAGCTGATTCGAGAGGTAGTTTTACAAAAGAGATTGATAACAGCAGTAGATTTCTAGCATCTGTCATCTCTTTTTTTCTTCCCCGAGTAGATTCTTTCAGTATTGCACTGTAGTGTAAAATAGGTTCTTCATACCACCCACAAGTCTGTAAGATCCACCAAGTGGAATAATTAGTATAATTTCTCCCCTCCCTTTTGGTTTTTATCTTCACTGCATGGAAGCTACTCATGCAGGGTAATGAAAAAGATAGTATCTGTTTTTCTTATTGTGCCTGAGCTAAGTTTCAGACATGCCAAAGTATATATCTTACAACTCTTTTGAAAAAGTGCAATTAAATTGCAGTGTTATTTTAGTGACACAGTCGGGCTATTTCAGGATATCTTTAATATTTTCTTTCAGAGGAAAGTGTTTCTATGCTCTGCAATTTCTAATATTGCTTGGGTGGAGTGGATTTAAATAAGAATAGAATAGATATCTTCTTAAAGGCAGATGCTTAGACTGTATTGTTGATTAGTTCTTATATAACATGTTAAATCAAACTGAACTGGAATTTGGGCTCTATATTTATGATATCTATATTGTATAATTTAAATATACAAAAAAATCAGAGAGGAAATGTAACCTTTTGGACATGTGGAACCAAAACTGAATTTGAGTTTTAGTGTGTTAATATGGGAGATCCAATATGCTAGCATTGCAAAGCTGGCATTAGGAATAGTCTGAGAAGCAGATTTAGCTCTGTCATTCCTACTTGATGCCAGGAAAGCAGCTTCTACCATGTCATTTGTTAGCGGACTTTTATCATGGATGTTGAATCTGTTTCTAAACCCTTTCTTACTGCATTAGTATGCATCATTCTGGTAATGTATTAACCTAATAATTCATTAGAAATGACAACTCATTCTCATGGTGTATTAGTCAAAGGCAGTCCTGACCCAGCAAGACAAGGCACAATGCATGAGATCAGTTTATTTAAACAGGGGAGGAGAAAAGATGTAGTGGAGTTAGTACTCCAGCATTATGGTTTTAGGGCTAGTAACATCTGTAGCACCTCACTACCTTCAGTCTACGACAGTCTGCTGAAGGTCCTTTGTATATTTAAACTGTTTTGCCTCTAATTGTGAATACTGGGAAAACCAAAAACAACCCTCCTAACTGTATTTTGCGCTCTCTCTCTTTTTTTCTCCACCATGCCACAGGCTCTGAAAATACTTCATCAGAAATTTCAGACCGGACAGACTCATAGTGGCTTCTGAGCCAGTGAGACCGAGGCTGCCAAAGCATGCTGGTGCCAAACTGTCGGATGATGCACGTAGCCAGGCCAGTCGTGGTGCTCCTGTGCTTTCTGCTTTCTGCTGATGCTGAAAGTAAGCTTTACTATTCAATGGTTTTGAGGTCCTATCCATAATGGACAGTTTTGTTTTCAGCTAACCATTGCAGAGGGCCTCTGAATAAGTCTCCTTTTCAGTAAATCTTAAGACTCTGTGAGATCCTCTGTGGCTCACAGCCAGTATTTAAACGGGTTTGTTTATGTTACTTCCTTACCATTTTTTCCTCTTAATCCCCTTTTCTTAGTAATCTATCAATTAATACCGTCTTTTTTCTTTTCTTTTCTTTTCTTTTCTTTTCTTTTCTTTTCTTTTCTTTTCTTTTCTTTTCTTTTCTTTTCTTTTCTTTTCTTTTCTTTTCTTTTCTTTTCTTTTCTTTTCTTTTCTTTTGTTAGTTGGTAGAGATAATACTAGTGAAATTATTCAGACAAAACCAAGACTACCTGTGCTTACCAAATGGCAAACATCAGTTAGTTCCATTAGGAATTTGTTTATGTCCTTGGATATTTCTTTTTAAGTTTAGTAAACTAAACAATAGAATGTTGAGTCCAATTAAAATTCCAGGCACTTTGTAGTTGTCACAGCAGCTGTTCTAATGTATTATTTCCGACAGCTGTCGTGGAGTATAGTATTCAAACAAATCAAGCAGAACTGACAACTTTGTGGTTGGCCTGAGTGTGTAGTACAGGTATCTGGGTTCTAATCACTGGACTCATTGTATGATACTGTAGGTTTTGGTCAATTAGCGAACCAATTAATGAGAAGATAATATCTTATTTTTAATTGGGAAATAATTAGGCCTGCCTTGTTTACATGTGTTCTTTCTCCCAGCTGTCCCGTGTCTTTTTTGCAGAAATACACCAACAAGAAACCACTTGTTGACAGACTGGTTTACTACAAGCTGTTCAGTTCACTTAATTCACTTGGATCTTTTTAGGGCTATTGAAACATCAGCAGTGATAAACTGTACCCCCCTCCCCTGTCTTTAAAATGGGTTCTGATCTCCCTTACAGCAATGAAAGCACAAAAGGGACAATTCTGTTGAGATAAATTGTTACAACAGTAAAAGTGCCATGAGATCAAAATTGGACACCATTTTAGTGAGAATAATTCATGTTTGTAGTGCACTGACAGTTGAGATTATTTGGGTCTTTTCCAGACAGTTAATGACCAGCTGGGATAGTTGTGTCTAAGGTGAAGACAAGGACATTTTAATACTTTAGCCAGCAACTAATTAACCGGGGAAAAGCTCAGGCAGTGGACATTTCTGTAGTTTTAAAACCTATGTTCAGTGATCAATGGATTTGAGAATCTGGTATTGCTTCTCTGTATAAGATGCCAGAGTACTATACTTCTGGTGTAGTTGAAGTGAATTTTTGCATGTATTTATATTGACTGTTCTTTACCAATCAGATAACAACTGGCAAAAAGACAATCAAATCACTACAATGCTCTTCTGTTTTATAAAGCTTGTCAGAGGAGGGAATATACTCCACTTACTTTCAAACAGGCTGTTTTATAAAAGCATTTTAATAAGGATTTTAATAATGTGTTGAGATTAGTTTTTCAAAATTATTGTGTACCTCACATTTTTTTGTTTAAAATGTGGCAGTAGGCTCTTAGACATTGTTGTGGCAGGAGATTGCTTTGTTAATAAGTTTCTATTTTCAGCGTACAGCATCAACAGGCAGGTTAAGGCTTGGAAAGTTGTACTTTAGGATGACAATGGGCTTTTGTAGCAGTTATTGTTGATTAATCTAGGCAAGATATTAAGTTATGCTCATAATAGGCATGATTTGTATATCAAGATGCAAACTCATGCAAAAAAAAAAAAAGACTATTCACCTGTAACCAGATTTATTGCAGATGGTTTCTACAGAGATCAGATATCTAACAGTGGGTACCTACAGAAGCCCTTTAAAGAAGGTGGCTATCACATGTTTAGTTTCTTTGCCTTTTGCACATTATCTTATACCATATTGTTGTGTCATTATTCATTCATATTTTCCTGTGTTGGTATCAGATATCAAATGTGCCCCAGTTGCTCTCAACTTAAGTCAAAAATCCATCACGTTTCCATAATTCCTTAAAAAATAATCAACAAATCTACCATACACCAGCTGAGTTTTATGACAGAGGAACTGACAGCTGATCCGCTGTCCTTTCTGGAAGGAGTCCCTGTAGTTAACGGGCATTACCAGACAGAATTTCAGAAAACCAGGCAGCAAGCCACAGAAGAATAAAATTAACCACTTCTTGAAAGGATTGATAGCATTGCCCTATCATCTGCTATTATGGTGCACTATAGTGTATATTGCTCACTACTTTGTTTGTCTTGAAGAAAGAGAAAAAAATGTTTAGATCTGTATTTAAAACAGATTTTAGAACAGGAAAGGTATATTTTTAATACCGGGAGTCTGTCTACTATATATTTGAGAGAGTTTGTCTGTTCCAGAGCTCCTCGTAAACTGTAAGAGCTAGGGCCACCAAATTTGGCTCTCATCATAACTTAAACCAAGGTAAAGGTTCGGTTATGCCAGGAAAATGGGATGTGCCCGAAATAGGATTTCTTCTCATAAAAACATACTGATGAGAGAAAGCATAACCAGACAGGTGAAAGGGGCATTTGGGGTGTGTCCTCCCAACCCCCATTTAGGACTGCCCCCAGGGGTGGCAGAAATCATTGGGATTGCCTTCCCAAGCTGCCAGGCATGGTCATGCCTGCACTTTACCACTCTACTCTACTGTAGGCATACTGGGGTAGAGTGTTGCTGCTCCCTGTGCTCTGGGGCAGGGAGGATGGGCCTGTGTGCTGCCTGCTTTCTCCGTGGTGCTCTGGGGCCCGGGATGTTGGGGCAGCATGCCGCTCCACTCCCCCAACCCCCCTGCTGCAAGGCCTGGGCAGAAGGGGTGAGGTTGGAGGCGGGTCTGTAGGGCTTGCCTCCCCCAGCCCTACCTTCACCCACTGTCTCTGAGTGCCCCAGCCCTAAGTCTCCCATTCCCCAGGTGCCCTTTAGGGAGATTAGGAGGCTGAAGCTCTCCCCCTCCCCAGATTCATATGGAGACATTCTTGGCTACTCCCCTTCATCAGCACTGGAGCAAAGTGCAGTTTCCTGCATTCCTCATTCTGGATGAGGAATGCAGGGGGAAGATGAGTTGTGCACTTTGCTGTCACACCCTGGCGGGGACAGGAAGGGGAAAAGCAGGCACTCCTAGAATGAATCTTGGGGCAAAGGGGAGGTTGGTTCCCTGCCCACCCCTCTAAATACATACACACACACACTCCCCTGTCCAGAGCCCTTCCAACCCTAACTACTGAACTCCCATACCCCAAGCCACCTACCCTGAGCCCCCTCTTATGGACCTGAACAATGCCATGAAAATGTGCTAGTAGGACTGAAATTCCTGAAACTAAACACAACCATACGTATACTTGCCATGATTTTATCCTGGAGAGTCAGAGATTGCATTCAAGAGTAATGAGCGGGTGGATAATCATATTAAAGAAAATAATATTTTGTTTATAAACAAATGTTTTTTTAAAAAACACAATGTGTGTTAAACATTTCCCTTCATGATCAGAGAGGGAAACACTGAATAGGGCAGTATAGCTTATGGGTTTTTTATGGGGGCAGTTTCTAGCCTGAACAATTTAAAATATATAACTTATTTAGCTAACAAAATTATAAAACATTGCGGCTACGTCTACACTGGCATGATTTTCCGGAAATGCTTTTAACGGAAAAGTTTTCCGTTAAAAGCATTTTCGGAAAAGCGCGTCTAGATTGGCAGGACACTTTTCCGCAAAAGCACTTTTTGTGGAAAAGCGTCTGTGGCCAATCTAAAAAAGCCCTGATTGCCATTTTCGCCATCGGGGCTTTTTTGTGGAAAACAAATCTCTGCTGTCTACACTGGCCCTTTTGCGCAAAAGTTTTTCGGAAAAAGACTTTTGCCCGAACGGGAGCAGCATAGTATTTCCACAAAAGCACTGACAATCTTACATGAGATTGTCAGTGCTTTTGCGGAAATTCAAGCGGCCAGTGTAGACAGCTGGCAAGTTTTTCCGGAAAAGCAGAAGCTTTTCCGGAAAAAGTGGCCAGTCTAGACACAGCCTGCATGTTGCTTTAGTTTAATTTTCCTTTACTACTTTTGCTTTTATTTATTAATATTTACTTTTACTGCAAAGTGGAGTTGTGATGAAGTGAAAGGGAAAATGTTATGACTGATGATCAGTTCCTATATTCAAGCTTTTATGAAGGAGACTTTCATCCGAGGTTTCTTCTACTAGTCTACTTCCTGATTCCAGTCTGCCCATTGATGTAAGGTCTGACCCTACTAAGTGGTGTGTACCTAGGTTTCCCATTGACATCAATGAAAATTGAGCATATTTGGTACTTCATCAGCTTGTCCCCATAGTGAGACCGACTCTTTGCTACTTAATCACTTCTAAGCAAGGCCATGCAGACACAAGGCAGATAGGGGAGGGGAATTCAAAAAGTTATTGAAATATTTTGGTTATTTATTCAGTTTGATTTAAGTTTTGAATGAAGGTTTAAATCAGTTTTAATTTGATCTGAATGACCTATTGGTAAATGTCAATGAGTGAATTTGTTAGCTAGATCGTCTTCGAAATGTGTGTCCTGTATTTTTCTTCAGATTAGACTGTCAAATCTCGCTAAAATATCTCTATATGTGTGAATCTATAACTATTGTTCCCCTTTAACTTAGTTTCTCTCCCTGTATAGTTAAAACTGAGATTTTTTGTGTTTCAAGCAATTAATGTGCACAGACTTTAAAAGTGTACAGCTGCTCCCCGAGTTATGAACAAGTTACGGAACAACACTTGGTTCGTAACTCGAAGTGTTCATAACTCGGATCCCATAGAGTTACATGGCGACAGTGCTGTTTGTAAGCACGGCTCGCCATTCGTAACTTGGATCTGCATTTACGACCGCTTTGGTCGTAAGTGCGGATGGTCGTAAGTGAAGGTGGTCGTAACTCGGGGAGCGACTGTATGTGATTATTCAAGTACCATTCCC